CCAAGTCTGTTAATGGCTGAATTGGTGTGGAACCTGAAGAAGCCAACGTTAACTCATACGTTAAAATTTGCTGGACACTTGTCAGTATTCTCTGAGAGCTAACAGCTGTGAGCTGTCTATGACCTGAGGGCAAGGGGATGTTGAGTCTACATTAAAGGTCTTTCCCTGGGTCAGCTTAACAGGGCAAGCATTGGAACTTTATGTAACGACGAAAATTTCAAGACCTGGATCCCTGTATGAAGGTCATTGTAGGACATATAAAGAAATTCCGGCCATTATTGTACAAGGATTCCACATCATTGTGGACTTCACAGCAATTTGATGTTCATACCACAAGATATTGATTGCATTGAAAGTTCAATAAGGACATTATAAATAACAAAAGCCAAATCTAAGTTTGATCAAAGCATGTTGCCTAATGCCGTATATTAATTATGGCATCTAAATAAAGAAACAGGAAGAAAGTAATTACAAAATTGATGTTTAGTTACCTGTATATACATTGTACTAAGACACAAGGAACACGGAAAGACAATTTGTTCGTTTTCTGTTTGATCAAAGTCCATCTAATGAAATGCAAGGTTTCTGTGGTCCACAAAACCATTAATAAATGAGACTGCAATTTGAAGCCCATAAGAGAAGAGTTTTTTGAGAACCACATTTGTTCTATTATCCTGTAACTGGGTCATTTCAAATGGTGTACAAAAACGGTCAATGTCACTGCCGGTAAATGGCTTTTAGTGTTGATTAAGGCTCAAGCCATTGACAAAATGAACCGGAGGACAATTACACTGGCAGAAACCAATTACAGTGTAACATCATCAACAGTGCCCATCGCTGATCAGCTATCTCCTCAATACTCCTTTCTGCTAAGTATGTTTCAATTGACCTAAGGATGTAGCCTCCTTCTTTTCTGACATGCTTCTCATTCCCAAAAGACTTTGATGCTAATCTACTTGGGTCACATACACATATCCCGTTTGGAACAGTTCAGGTGGCGCAGAAATATTCTGCGACAAACTAACGCGCTCGGACCAAACTGTTGGTAAAAAACTAAAAGTGCATTTAAGCAATAGCCAGCATTTTAGTTTCCATCAGACACATATCAGGACCCCTTCACATGCATGTGCCGAATATTCCTGAGGTCAGCCTGATCTGTTCAGATCTGAGCCTGTCATTTTCTTTTCAGGTTCAGCTGGTTGCAACAGATTTTTACATATTTGACCACAGTGACCTTGAAAGTGAGTCAAAGTCAATCATTTAGATAAATTTTGAAGCCCTTAATCCCAGCATGCTACAGGCCAAATATCATCTCGAAAAGAAAATGTTAAAGATTTTAACAAAATAATTGATCTATAATGACAAATTCCAATGTTGAAACTTCACTTTTGAACAGTTAAAAGAGGTCAAAGACATGTTAGTTTGATAATCTGTATGCGACACTTCAGAATACCTTATACATTGGAACAATGCTAATCTCACTACATTCAGTCCCAAAGTAAAAGTCCTGGATTAAGTGAAATGGCTGAATTACCACAACAAATTTGTATCAAAAAGGAAACATGTTCCCAAAATACCAACTGGATAATTGGATTGTTGCTGGATTATCAAGGCTCACATGTATTGGACATTATCTTTACCATGAATTTCATTCCAGTCTCTTACTTTTGGAAATTGTCGGTTAGTCAGGTTATTTGACTTCAGCTGAACCCTTATAGAGGTTCTCTAAATATCCATGCTAACAAAGCTTATGCTGTTGAGGAACTCTCCTTTCTGGAAAAAACATTTCATTTGTCAAAGACTGTAGGTCAGTGCCTGAATAGATAATTCAAGGCACCATTAAGATACAGCTATACTGGGTGTCTACTCATTTAACATAACCAGTATCCCCCTTCCTCCTTCCCCTCCTCCTAAAACAGCCTTTGTGATTGATGTCGAGAGGTAAGTTAAAAGGCCAACGGTTCCAAACTCTAGTTTTGAACATTCAGAACTGTAAATTGAATTACAGATCTAGTTTGGCTAACTGTTAATAAGGTTATGTGTGTGCAATCAGGGAAGGAACTTAAGCTAGGCCACATAAAATTAGATCTGTGTGCTCCTAAAGCTTGTTGTATCTGCCAAAGAATGCTAACAGCCAAACATTCTCATGGCAGAGATTGGTTCTGGATGTGGCAGACCAAAACTTCTGTAATAAATTGAGAATGACACAGAATATTTTCATCATGTCTAGCCAGGTGTGACAAATGACCTCTCAAGTGATGGATCGTGTCTGTTTCGAAGATGAAGGCACTGAAAATGAGAATGTTTTCCATACAAGCTTCATAAAGCAAAACAAATGTGATCAATCACGACACTTTACCGCTCAAAAGGATAACATTACAACCATAAAAATTGTTTCTTCGTGAGGAAATTGCTTCAATCAGAATTTACAGCTCTGGAGTAACAACTTGAATTTTCTCCGGGATGGTAATAGTGAGTGTGGTTTGTGGCCTACCACGCCCACAATTTGACCAATATAGATTTCCATCCTCGGTTAACCACTATAACCCTGACAGGCCGAAGAAATCAATCATGGTTACGCTTATTTACAGATCTTACCCACACCATGGAGAAAATGCAGTTAAACCTGTTCGAACACTGAATGTCATATCATTATTTACAACACTGTTACTCCCCTTTTCGACACATATAAATTGTACCCTCTTTAACCTTTTCACCCTCAATTCACATTTGAACCTTACCAAACCAAAGATAAGGCAAATCCAGTTTAAATATGAAGGGGTGAATGAGTTAAGCAGGTTAGAAATGATTTACGTTTCTGTAATGCCTTATTAGAACTTGTACAATCCTTGAATGAGCACCTAAGAAACTGCTTACAATTTTGTAATTTAAAAAATACATATATTTACGTATCAACTTGACAACATTTTCTTTTTATAATATTTCTTCATCCGTAAGGATCATTTTTCTGATTTATAATATATATATACATATATATAAAGTCAGGTGTGTGCATTCGTCCCAGGATAAACGTTGATGGTAATATTTTATACACATGTTTACAAGTCTATATGGGTTAAAGCCACTATGGAATTTCGTATTTAAGTTGAGATCAGCTTTTCAGGTACAGCTGTTTCCTAGCCTACAGCCAACTTCTAGTAGATGATCAGGTGAACAGATTGTAGCGTACATTATATATAGAAATCCTATAGAGTAATAATATCATAACACTGATCCTATCTTAGTTCATTTTTTTATTTTTATTTAAATAGAGAAACATATAAATACAATATTTATATTAAAAGAAGCCAACAATAAGGGTTCTTTTTTTTTGTGTAAAAAAAATATGTTTTTCTAGCAGAGCGGACTATGACAGGAAGCACTGAACAAGTGAAGGATTTGCCATCTACTGGTAAAATTCAAATAACTACCGGTATATAAGGCTTCATTTGTGTATTGATTCTGCCATACCTTCCTAGCGTAATAAGTCACTCTGTCTAGTCAATGGTGAACTAATGTAAGGTATCATGATGAATTCATTATCAGTATTAATTGTTGAGAAAATTTTCCAATAAACATGATATAACACTCGTATTAAGTTATATTTACAGTGATAATTCAGCCCCCCTTTCCCCTCCCCAATAGCCATTTTTGGAAAGTACAAGCATTTGCTCTTGAGTGATACGTTCAAAAATTGACCAATCAATTTGCGAACCTGTTTCATTACAACAGACGTCGCCTTCCCCCTGCCGAGAGTCCAAAGCACAGGCAATATAAAGGATCTGAGAGTAATTCTTTCTATCCTCGAAGTACACCAAAGCCATACATTGTCTACAGCATGTTAAGCAGTGTCGTTACTTACATGTTTCCCATATCCATGGAGAGATTGGGTTTACACCTCCCAGAAGGTTTGTATTACGGCCAACTCAAGCATCATTGGTTATGCAAAACTACCCCCCTCTGGGGAGAAATTACTATTAAGTTGTACCAACATGCTTGTCAGAAGAAGTTAGGCTAAAACACTAAACAGATACTCCTGCTTCAGAATGTAACACTAACAACATATAAATGGTTATAAATTGATCAAATGTAAGTAACGGTTGTTTTTTAAACAAGTAACACGTTATATAATTTCTACTTTCACTTTCCTAATACAATGTTCATGGAGTTTATAAAATATTTTAATTTTTAATTTTGTTTATAACATTAAGTCAATTTCTGTCCAGAAATTATGCGTAGATTTAGAAAAATAGCTTTATCAAGATACGGCAACTACAGACTATATGATTGACTTAACTCATTCACCCCTGAAGTTTCATAATGAACTATTCCATCCTTTTAATTGGAAGAGTTCAAATGTGTTTTCAGGGGTAAATGAGTTAATGCGAGAAGTAGAATAGCATATAATGACTTAAGGATCCTTGTACCACTGCCAAAAACTGTTTTTCTAGTATGACTATACCTTTGATAAATCATTTCTGAAAAGGAAATCATACTTTGTGGGACTTTGACGAAAATAATAAAGATGAAATAAATAAATTATAATGAATAATAGTGTGGTTAGCGTAAAATCTTAAGCAGGACAAGACTGGGATTTGAATCATGAACCTCAGGTTGTTATACTATCACTCTGACCGACTGAGCCACACAGTCAACGAGGGCGTCCTGGCTCAACTGTGCTACAGGTATATCTTAAATTCAGGGGAGGTTACTGTACAAAAATTCACAGTGCAGTGGGACAGGGATCCTTAAGGATGAACTATAGCTAAGGAATATTTCAAAGTAGAAGAGATCTATATGTATCACCTGTTATTATAAAAAGAAAATCAAGATAAACTTTTACCGCACAGTTTTATATAAGAGTTATGAGATAATCACAAGCAGATGAAGTACATCTTTAGGAGACACACTTTCCATTAGCAGCTAGTGAGGAGGCAGGTAAATCAATTATACATGTTAAAAGTGGTGCAGGTCTACCTCAGTCGATATTAGATATTTACCTCCATTGAAATGGCCTCAGCTGTGTCCTGAAGTGTAAACAGCTTAATGAAACAGTGTTATGTAACATCAATATAACAACGTATTGTAACACATTTACATGTCCTCAACTACGTAACAATCGATACAGGTGAGACAGCATCCCTTTGAAGGAGAAAATGACAACGTATTGTAACATATTTACATGTCCTCAACTACGTAACAATCAATACAGGTGAGACAGCATCCCTTCCACAGAGAGTTCTCTAATGTTTTGTATTTCATAATAAAACATCTTTAATATATTCCTCCATTATGTATTCTTAATTACAATTTAAAGACTTTACATACAGGAAAAAACAGATTGATGTTGCATATCGTAACCATGATACATTTTAGCATATTGATATTATAAACAGCAGTGCTCATCCAAAAAGGCTTCTGATTATGTTCCAGGCCAACGAAGTCATGCACACTTTGAAATTAGATAAGACTTCATAAGTCATTTTCCTCATCTAATTGGTTTGACTAAGAATAATCTGGAAATCAATTTTCTAATTCGACCTACTTTCATACTGTGGTCTTCCAAACTGAACAGTTTCTATGATATTTCATTTTCATTCCCAAATACAATGCATAAAACATTTTTATTTAAAAAAATTCAATCTGCCATATATCTAATTACTTGAAATTATGTCCCCACTGAGGAGTTATTTTTGGTAAAAATTACGCTTATATATATATATAATGACTATATGCTTTCTTAATTTGACACGTTTCCCCTTTTCAAAAGGAGTTCCCAACAAACATGTTAAACCTCTTTCAGAACTTTTTGTTATTCAAAGGTTGATACTTCAGATGGTATACTGGTATTCACAGAATGCTTGCATTGATATAACCCTGGATATGTCCACATAACTATTAGAAAACTTCAGTTAATTTAATTAAAGGAAGATAACTCCAGCACAGATAATCAACATAACGTATAAGGTAGCATGCACCCTTAACTCAAACCAGTGGAATCTGATTTGGAATAGTTCGCCAGTCATGTAACAGGAATTAATTAAAATTTATTGCATGTTACGATTTCCGTTTTCGCTAGGTAAGTGATTTTCATTGTCTATATTGATGAAGGATCCCAGCACCACTGTGGGGCTAGACTGGGATTCGAACCCTGTTATACTATTGCTCTCACCAATTCAGCTACCTGGTCAACTACAGTGAGGTGTCTTGGACCAACTTTGCTACAGTTATATCACAACAGTTACTTTATATAGGAACAAGTCATTGCCCCGCTTTGACAATCAATGCACATGTCAAGTTTGGTTGGTGTAGCACTTATAGTTTCAGATGGTGTAGCACTTATAGTTTCAAAGAAACTAACTTAAACGCAAAAATTTAATGTTGATGGAGATGCTGACAAAGTCAATGGACCATGAAAGGTAGGCCGCATCAGCATTAGATGTATGGGTTGAGATGTACTACCTAAGATGCATCTATGGTTCAAGTTTGGTTGGTCTAGCATTAATACTTTCAGAGAAAGTAACTCAAACGCAAAAGCTTAACGTTGACGCCGCCATTGCAACCGTCACCGAAAAATAACACCTTTGTCTCATCTTCCGCTACTTGGTGGCAGCGAGACAAAAACCACAATGCAATGTGACAGGGACCCTTAATTGTTGTTCTGGCTACAGCCACCTGTTATAAAAGCAAACTCATGTTTCTAAGGTTTTGAAAGAATCTTTTTTTTTCTTGGTAAACACAGGTTTGCATTAAGTCCCTTATTCCCATTAAATCTATTGATGTGTCTATTCCCATATCTTCTTCTGCCTGTTATTCAGTGACATAGACCAACTACAAGTCCCTTAATTATCCCCATTAAATCTACATGTATTGATGTGTCTATTCCCACATCTTCTTCTGCCTGTTATACAGTGACATAGACCAACTACGAGTCCAAGCAATCTAGAGAGATCAAATGACCCTCTGTCTGTGTTATTACATAGTTGGACTTTCTACTCCTCTGAGGTATCCTGTTTCTCAGTGGCAATAACAGGTAGTGTGGGATGACTCTGATTGGTTGATGTGAAGTTTGGTTGTATCTGGTTGATGTGTGGTTAGGGAATTTTGGCAGAGTACACCTCCTTTGTTCTAAAGTACAGTACAGAACTAATAAACAATTTTGTCCATAACACACAGCTTCAGAACAAATGGTATGTTACTCTCAAAGAGACTTTTATGGTAAAATAAGAAAATAACAAATAGTTTTTACTGATGTAGACGACATTATCAGACTTTCTGGAATGAAAGAATTCCATATTTTAGCATGCAGCACATTATACAAAGGTTTAGTACTTCAAGGTCATCATCTCTTTGATCAGTCTCAGCAACTTTGTCCAACCAATCAGTTCTTTGAAATCATATTGATTCAATATACAATTATCATGGGGTATACTGATGCTGTACAGAACCAATTTACTTGGTATTTCACTGTAATGAAACTGTCTTCATTTCAAGTAAGACAATGTAGTAAGGTAATTATAGTCACCTGAGATCAAACGAGACCATGCAGTATCAATGATGCTCAGTCAAGAGAAACAGACACCAGGAACCACTAGCTTCCTTTAACACCCGAAGTGCAGTAATCAGATACCGCTATTTAAATAATTTTATTAATGTTCGTAAGTCAGGTAGTAAATCGAAGAAGCCATTTTATTTAATACTTATCATACGTGGGCGTTGGGAACGTTAGGAGGTTTCTTTGACATGCAATACCTGATAGAAACAATACCAAACTCAATACATAATTCATTTTTCTGATAATAATACAGTGAACATGAATCTGCTGATTTATCGGATAATGTGTTGAGGAAAAGGAAAACTGCAGAGAAGACACGTACCTTGAAGTGAAGGATACGCTGTGCTAGACAATCGTAATTAAGAATGATATTGTTCTCACAGCTTCGGGCAGGTTCATCAAATTAAACAAAAGGCCAACCGTTAATGACCTGACTGATCAGGAAGTATGAGGTACAAAAAAAGACCTACAGCAACTATACACTGACAAGTTAACATGATTATAAATGAAGACAGAAAATCCAGATTAAATACAGGCAATGGCCACACTGCAGAGCAGAAAAGAGTATAAATGGGGAATGTGGTTGGATGGTAGATTCTGTATCTTATGACACTGTGGAGTGCATGGCTTTCATTTCTTTAAATATTGGGTATATCTATATAACTTTAAAACAGAACGCATGAACGGATCTGTTGTCTTAACCTGTAGATAGAGACATTCTCACCAACCTTTTAAATAATTCAGAATGAGGCCAGTCTTATAAATAAGGAAACAGCTGAGAAAGCAGAGCTTACCCCGGAGTGGCTCATCACAATCAATGGCTCAACCCTTTTTGAAGTCTGTCTGAATTTCAAACCAATACAAGATACTTTCATCATTGATCAAGTTCGCCCTGTATGACCTCAGGTAGCCATTTTATTCCATCTTTCATCTTGTTATTTCTGTCTTAGACTGTGTGGCATTACAATGATACACAGTCAACCCTCGATATAATACCCTTTGTTTCATTTGCCACCTTGTTTACTGCCAACATATTTCAATTAAGTTCCTTTTTCTTGTCTTCTTAAAAATTATTTTATAGATTTCCCTCAATTTATTGCCAACCCCCTTTATAATGCCAAAATGTCTCTGGACAAATGTTGGCATTATAACAAAGTTTTTACCAATTTTTCAAAGAATATTTTGAAATGCTTGCAACATTACTTCATCAACCAATGATGAAGCAAGCTATGCTACATATAAACCAGACTGCCATTTGTTCTCAATCAATATTCTGATATCTATCGGTAACCTAATTAAACCTTACATTCTTTAGAAGTAGAGGCCATACGATGATTACCAGGGTTACATTCAAACTACCAATATCTTCATACTATTCGTGACTTTTACGCTCCATAATCTAATTTCTCTGTATAGGGCTTTCCCATCTGTCCCAGATTTTTCCAGGCAACACCGGAAAGACAGACATCAGGAAGCAGGAAACAATTAGCATGGAACACTTCCTGGAAACGCTCTGGGACATTATTTACCTGTATATAGTGGAGACTCAACAGGAAGTAGTCATCAACTCAGGACGAGACGTAGTCACAATGTTAGGCGGATGTCTGCTTATATAACTACGATGGCGACAAAGGGGGACAATTTGTACCAGATTCATGAAATTCATCTTATACAGACGTCTGCTTATAGAACTACAATGGCAACAAAGGGAGACAATTTGTACGAGGCTCATGAAAATCTTACACAGAAGTCTGCTTTGAAATAACTTTGATGGCCCAGATGTTAGCGCCGGAGGTCTAAATGTGGGAGGAAACCGGAGTACACAGAGAAAACCCACAGTATGTGCTTTTTTGAATGATTTAAAGGACAGAAAATAGACTGGACGGCAATTTACATTCAGAACTGGAGAACAATGGAAAACTTATAACAATAATATGCAGTCATAATTTTCAAGGTAATACACATTTCAAATATCGATTACACAAAAAATTCTCCATAAAGAGACCACATTGAACATGCCCACATATAAGGTTAGCTTTTAATCAGGACTTTGCTGGCACACTTATTGCCTTCTTTAGGACACTACAGGATCCAGCATGCGCAGTACCATGTGTAATTGACTGCCAGCAAATTCTTTTACTCTAATTATAAAGTTCCGAAGGGGAGATAAGTCAATAAAACTATATAAAACCAGAGAATCTCCTTAACCAATTTTACCAGGAACTTGTTCAACAGGTCTGATTTGCAGAAAAAGTACAAAAGTTTGAGGCTCATTTTAAGTTGTGTGAAATACCAATATTTGACAAGAGAAAATGTATACAAGATGAAATACCAAACATATTGTCTATGTTTTTCAGCTTACTTATTAAGGATATTTAACATTTATATATAATCTTCTAAAAAATCCATTTGTATGCACTTCTATTTGTAGGTTGTGGTTGTGAAGGTTTGATAGCTGTTGCTATGAAAGCACATACTGTGAATTCAGATATTTTCATGGGGCCCAAATTTTGTGGTTTCCTGACAAAACACCATTTTGTAGGTCAAATGAACTCATGGAGTACCTAATCAAACAGAGAATTATTTTATGTCGAACTTGCAATTACTTTATGGACCTGTGAATTCATGGATAATGATTACTGTCCAATTGAAGCAAATTGCAAAAAAACACCAAAATTAGTAATTTCACAGTATTTGAATTTAAAGAACTAGCTTATATATTCAGAATTTGGTTTAAAATAAATTTACAGGGTCGCAGGCCATCATGTCAGGGGAAAAAACTTATGTTTGGGCAAACATGAAAGGAGGGATGAGTTATTTAATAACACATCAGCTATCCATTTTGAACTGCTTTTTGTATTGAACACATTTAATATGGTGCTATGTGGTTAACATACAATAGGTCACATCTGATGTGACAGCCCTTCCTGTTGTATCGTTTGTTTGTTTGTATTAAACAGCTTCTGCTGTTTGACCATGTCTGACAGCTACCTAAGGAGGAAGGGTCACTTAACTGTTAAGATACAGGATTGCCTACCATTGTATCAGGGGAGACAACTCCCAATATGGGAAATACATGTAAAGAGGTGACTTACCCTGTGTCCTGGATGGGTGGAGCTCATCGTCTGGTAGGACCCTGTGGACGACTGCCGGCTGACCCCTAGGGAGTCATTTAAGGCGGTATGGGAGTTAGGCAGGGGCTGCACATGTTCAGTGACAACCTGGCTTCGTCCAGGTCGTTCGAACCTGAAATAAGAGAAGATAACTCCAAAACATGATGGACAAAATGGGCAGCCCTCAGCTCCATACACATCTGACATTGTAGTCCCACACTTGTTCAGTCAGCCTGTCAGCACTAGACCATGTATCCTACCGGTCTGACCCACGGTCACATGTCCTTATCCTCAAATGACCTGGCCAGCCTACACACTGGTACCAATGGTCAGTCCTGAGTTGTCACAGAAGCACACCTGACTTCCTTACTATTTAACAAACACCTTAACAATTTACGCATCACCGCACATTTACATCACATATCACTGTGAACTTTTATCTCCAAATCAGTTCCTGGAAAGGTAAATCTCACAAACAGCTTCTAAACTATATTCTAACAGTATTTGTAAGTTTTATTGCCAAATTCTAGAAACACAATTTTATATTCATGTTTTGATAGAAGAATTTATATAGTAAATCTCAGATTGTTGTATAGGTAAATCACTGTGTTTTTTTTTTTATCCTACTCCAGCCTAGACACATGCACAGCCGTAACTCCAAGTCAGGTAAATCATAGCACCAGTAACTCTACACTTTAACTCCAGGCCCTGTGAAAACTCAAGCAGAGATCCAACTCTCAGCACCAATGGAAGAGTGTTGCAGTGCACAAGTCCGGGAGTCCGGTGCGCGGGAGTCCGGTGCGCGTTTGACTGAGGTGGACACGCGAGAGTGTTAAACACTATACAGAACTATCACTGGTATAGGCTAGTACTAGGCAGGCTTCAGAGGCAGGCTGTATTGATTTTCATCCTCCCCATAACCTCTCCCTATGCAAACTATATGACAGCTCAAACTTCATGCCAGTTTAACAGACCAGTCTGGGCCGTGGGGACTAATGTTGCTGATGAGGGGCAGTCTGGACAGAGGATCCTCACGGAGCCAGTCACACAAACGATTCACTGCCTGAAATACCTGTCTAGCACAAGTGTAACTGTAGGTAACATCGTTACAGGTGAATGATCTCAATTTTTAACTTTATTTGATATACGTTTATTGAGTAACTAATGAAAAATCAGTATACCTACCATAAGAAATGTATAAAGATTACTAAGATATGGATATATTCGATAAAAGGATGTTACCAGCCATTAGGAAACAATCCCAAATAAAGTGTAGGTAAATATCAAACCCATTTAAAACAGGTATGATATGTCTGAATGTGAAAAAAGAAATGTAATCCTACTCTGACTCAACAGTCTGCTTTCTATATATCAAGTATATACACAGCTATTGAAACAGGTGGAGCGTTGCTGGACATGGAATTCAGCAAAACATGTTGATACCTTTACATGCAAGCATGTTCACTGATGGAATAAATAAGTGTATATGACTCAGTAAGCACCTATACAGCTCTGGTATAAAGGGGTTTATCAAACACAGAACACCTGTTTAAATAAAAAAAAAAATCTGCTATGGAAGATTTTAATCCCTGTGTACTGTTTAGAGTTTTGTAGAAACAGGGCTGAACATGTAGGTGTCTAAGGGGAATATGGAGAAGGCTCAACATGTAGGTGGCTTAGTAGACAGTGACAAGGCTCAACATGTAGGTGGCTGAGTAGACAGGGACAGGGCTCAACATGTAGGTGACTTAGTAGACAGTGACAAACATGAAGGTGTCTTAGGGGAATATGGAGAAGGCTCAACATGTAGGTGACTTAGTAGACAGTGACAAGGCTCAACATGTAGGTGGCTTAGTAGACAGGGGCAGGGCTCAACATGTAGGTGGCTAAGTAGACAGGGACAGGGCTCAACATGTAGGTGTCTTAGTAAACAGGGACAAGGCTCAACATGAAGGTGGCTTAGTGGACAGGGCTTAACATGTAGGTGTCTTAGTAGACAGGAACAGGCCTCAACATGTAGGTGGCTTAGTGGACAGGGCTTAACATGTAGGTGTCTTAGTAGACAGGGACAGGGCTAGCTCAACATGTAGGTGGCTTAGTAGACAGGGAAAAGGCTCAACATGTAGGTGTCTTAGTAGACAGTAACAGGCCTCAACATGTAGGTGTCGTAGCAGACAGGGACAGGGCTCCACATGTAGGTGGCTTAGTGGACAGTGCTTAACATGTAGGTGTCTGAGTAGACAGGAACAGGCCTCAACATGTAGGGGGCTTAGTGGACAGGGAGAAGGCTCAACATGTAGGCAGATTAGTGGACAGGGCTTAACGTGTAGGTGGCTTAGTGGATAGGGACAAGGCTCAACATGTCGGTGGCTTAGTAGCCAGGAGCAGGGCTGAACATGTAGGTGATTTAATAGGACAGGGACAGGGCTAAACATGTAGATGGCTTAGTAGACGGGGACAGGGCTCAACATCCCCGTGGCTTAGTGGACAGGGAGAAGGCTCAACATGTAGGTGTTTTAGTAGACAGGGACAGGACTCAACATGTGGGTGTCTTAGCAGACAGTAGGTGACTTAGTAGACAGGGACAGCTGGGCTCACCATGTAAGTGGCTGAGTAAACAGGGACAAGGCTCAACAAGTAGGTGTCTTAGCAGACAGCGACAGGGCTCAACATGTATGTGGCTTAGTAGACAGTGACAAGGCTCAACATGTCGGTGTCTTAGTAGACAGTGACAATGCTCAACATGTAGGTGGATTAGTAGCACGAGAAAAGGCTCAACATGTTGTAGGTGGCTTAGTAGGCTCAACATGTAGGTGCCTTAGTAGACAGGAACAGGCCTCAATATGTAGGTGGCTTAGTGCACAGGGCTTAACATGTAGGCGGCTTAGTAGACAGGGACACGGCTCAACATGTAGGTGCCTTAGTAGACAGGAACAGGGCTCAACATGTAGCCGTCTTAGTAGACGGGGACAGGGCTCAACATGTCGGTGTCTTAGTAGACAGTGACAGGGCTCAACATGTTGGTGGCTTAGTAGACAGGCTCAACATGTATATGGCTTAGTAGACAGGGGCAGGGCTCAAAATGTAGAAGGCTTAGTCGACAGGGACAGGGCTCATCATGTAGGTGTCTTAGTAGAGAGGGACAGGGTTAAACATGTAGATGGCTTAGTGGACAGGGACAAGGCTCAACATGTCGGTGTCTTAGTAGCCAGGGACAGGGCTCAATATGTAGGTGGCTTAGTGCACAGGGCTTAACCTGTAGGTGTCTTAGTAGACAGGAACAAGGCTCAACATGTACGTAGCTTAGTGGACAGGGCTTCACATGTAGGTGTCTTAGGGGACGGGGACAGGGCTAGCTCACCATGTAGGTGTCTTAGTGGACAGGGACAAGTCTCAACATGTAGGTAGCTAATTAGACAGGGCTTAACATGTAGGCGGCTTAGTAGACAGGGACATGGCTCAACATGTACGTGGCTTAGTAGACAGTGACAATGCTCAACATGTAGGTGGATTAGTAGCACGAGAAAAGGCTCAACATGTCGGTGTCTTAGTAGACAGAGACAGGGCTCAGCATGTAGGTGGCTTAGACAGGGACAGGGCTAGATCTGCATGTAGGTGATTTAGTAGGTGGCTTAGTAGAAAGACACAGGGCTCAACATGTATGTGGCTTAGTAGACAGGGCCAGGGCTCAACATGAAGGTGGTTTAGTGGACAGGGCTTAAGATGTAGGTGTCTTAGTAAACGGGGACAAGGCTCAACATGTAGGTGTCTTAGTAAACGGGGACAAGGCTCAACATTAGAAATACAGACAGATGTCGAGTCATATACCTGGTTTATCTACAAGCTACAGGGCTCAACATGTATGTGGCTTAGTAGACAGGGGCAGGGCTCAACATGTAGCCGTCTTAGTAGACGGGGACAGGGCTCAACATCCCCGTGGCTTAGTGGACAGGGAGAAGGCTCAACATGTAGGGGGCTTAGTAGACAGGGAAAGGGCTCAACATGTAGGAGGCTTAGTAGACAGGGCCAGGGCTCAACATGAAGGGGTCTTAGCAGACAGGGAAAGGGCTCAACATGTAGGGGGCTTAGTAGACAGGGACATGGCTCAACATGAAGGTGGTTTAGTGGACAGGGCTTATCTTGTAGGTGGCTTAGTAGGCTCAACATGTAGGTAGCTAATTAGACAGGGCTTAACATGTAGGGGTCTTAGTAAACAGGGACAGGGCTCAATATGTAGGTGACTTAGTAGGACAGGGACAGGGCTAAACATGTAGATGTCGTAGTAGACAGGGACAGGCCTCAACATGTAGGGGGCTTAGTAGACAGGGAGAGGGCTCAAAATGTAGAAGGCTTAGTAAACAGGGACAATGCTCAACATGAAGGTGGCTTAGTAGACAAGGACAGGGCTCAACATGTTGGTGGCTTAGTAGACAGAGACAGGGCTCAGCATGTAGGTGTATAACGACAGGGCTTAACATGTAGGTGTCTTCGCAGACAGGGACAGGGCTCCACATGTAGGTGTCTTAGAAGGCTCAACATGTAGGTGCCTTAGTAGACAGGAACAAGGCTCAACATGTACGTAGCTTAGTGGACAGGGCTTAAGATGTAGGTGTCTTAGTAAACAGGGACAATGCTCAACATGAAGGTGGCTTAGAAGACAGGGACAGGGCTCATCATGTAGGTGTCTTAGTAAACAGGGACAATGCTCAACATGAAGGTGGTTTAGTGGACAGGGCTTATCTTGTAGGTGGCTTAGTAGCCAGGGACAGCTGGGCTCAACATGTAGGGCGCTTGGTAGACAGGGACAGCTGGGCTCAACATGTAGTGTAGAAACAGGGCTGAACATGTAGGTGACTTAGTAGACAGGGACATGGCTCAACATGAAGGTGGCTTAGTAGACAAGGACAGGGCTCAACATGCATGTAGGTGACTTAGTAGACAGAGACAAACATGTAGGTGTATTAGTGGACAGGGCTTAACGTGTAGGTGGCTTAGTAAACAGGGACAATGCTCAACATGAAGGTGGCTTAGTAGACAAGGACAGGGCTCAACATGTAGGTGGCTTAGTAGACAGGGACAGGGTTAAACATGTAGATGGCTTAGTAGACAGGGACAGGGCTCAACATGTAGGTG